TGTGTTAGTCAGCCAAGGAGACAGGCAATAAATAAGGACACGGAAATATGTGACATTTATGAGCACTGTATAATATAGAACAATGTAGAGGAAGAGAAGACTAGGGAGATGTTGCGATTTAGACAGCGTGAATAGAGAATGGTAGACATTTAAGGAAGGTGCTGGGAGTCGGAGGGAACAAGCCATGTGGTAGCTCATGGAAGGCCGTTTCATGCAGGGAGAACCTGTGAAGGCACCGAGGCATGGGAAAAGGAGGCGCTAGGACTGCACAGGAGTCCTGAGAGCGTGGGAAAGAACAGTCACAAATTGAGGGTAGAAATGTAATTGGGAGCCAATGAACACATGAACCATTGTGGGTACACGCAAACTGAGATGGGAAGAGATAACAGGTCCTGGTCAGAGGTGACAGGCTTCCCAGGTGGCAAAAAGGTGATTACTGGAAAGTTTGGTGGTTCAAACCCAGCCATAAGGCAGCTCACGTTTCATCCCAGAGCCCCATAATCACCTTCCCTGCGCCATCATCACAAGTGTCATGCTTGGGTCTGTTGCTTCAGCCCCAGTGTCTGTCCCTCTTTCTGAGGGTCATGCTCATTTTCGCTGACCACCTACTTTATCAAGCATGATGAGCCCAGAGTAAAGTGGTCCTGACAAATGGCCAAAACCTAAGTGTGTCTTTTATATTTGCTAACAACTGTAATGGGTGTTGTGGGCAGAGGGTAAGAAAGTGACACTCAGATTACAATAAAATACTGGGTCTGACTATTAATGAGTTAGTGTTAATTGAGAGGTTAAATTGTATTATATACGCATACAAACACACAGTATGAGCTCTAGCTCAGTTTGGGACATGTATACTATATTTATCAGTACACTATATGATCATCAAGTCCAGGAAAAAGGTTTGGACTGGATAATTAAATTTGGAATCTATCTGCACAAAGAAGATGATATCTGAGCTAGGAAATAGAAGAACTGCCCAAGCAAATTGATTTCTGAAGAATTTTAAACAAGTCTAAATAATTTTAGAAATCTTAAACAGTGCTAAGCAATTTTAGAGATCAAGTGCAGGGAGATAAGGATCAATAAGTATAAAGAAAATTAATAGAGACCCAGAGATTAACGAGAAACTCAAGAAAAATGAAATTACTGTCTCCTCCTTGAAATACTTCAACCCTGTCCTAAATTCAGGGCAAAGAAGTGACCTTGAATCTAGCAATATTTGGGTAAGGTGTTGACATTGTCGAGAGAGCTTTGAGAACCTGACTAAAATGGAGTCAGGTGAGGTCAGGAGCCATCACTGGGAGTTGCTAGCGTAGGTGGTGCAACATGGAATTGTGCTTCAGAGGGAAAGTAAGAAATGGGGTTGAGATCTACACAGGTAAGTGCGTTCTGAGATTTATTTGAGTGGGGATTTTAATAGAGTATTTGTGAATTGAGCTTCCTGTGTGTATCTGGGGATTAAATGTCTAAGTGCTGACAGAGATCTGTGGGAACCGAAATTCTGATTAGATGTCAAAGCCATGCGAACAGATCGTTTGGGATCCTGGGGTCTTTGGGAAAGGTCAGTGCTGCCCAGGTTGATGGGAACGCTGGCTGCACAGAAGGAGAACAGAAGGGGCAGCGGCAGAGGGAGGAGGGCAGCCGAGAAGGACAGCATCCAAGCCAAATAGTGTCCACGTGTGTTTTGCATAGGACTGAGGTTCCTGCAGCCTTTAATTTTCTAATGATCAGTCTTCCGCATGCCACAGAAATCCACTCTATGGGCAACGTTAAACCACTTTTTTTTTTTAACGTTGAACCACATTTTAAAGCTAAAATTCCCTTTTTTTGTGTCCATCTTACATCAACGGGAAGGTAATTTCGAGGGGTTTCCACAGCAGCATGGCCATTTGCAGTCACTGGACAGTCTAAAAGCCAGCATGCCTTCAGTAGGAGGTCTCCTGCAGTGGTTTATGTTAATGTGCCACTGGGATGTTTTATGCCAGGACCCCTATTACCTAGTAATGTGCTACTGATAAAGTAAGTAGTGTGGTGAAATGGCACCAGCCACATGAGATTTTAATGAATTGTCAATGTCAGAAGCAAGTTTTAGTCTCTGCTCTGGGTCAAAATTGAGAAGGAGATGGAATGAGAAGTCTCTAATCTGACAGTATGAATGGGATCAGAGACAGTGAATCCCATAGATTCAGTAGCGGGTCCTCTTCGGTGCAGAAGTGTTGCGGTGGTCGGGTGCATGAAACAGGCCTTGACCTCGGTGAGAAAGTCGTATTGCCCCCAGGGTTTCCCAGTGTGTGGTCTTTATGAAGGCAGCCCTCTGGGTCCTTCTTCCAAGGAGCTTGGGGGCGGATTAGAACAGCCAATCTTTCGGTTAGTAGCTGAGCACTTAACCATCGTGTCTCTAGGAACAGGGACTTCATTTCATCTAGGAGCCCAGACTATACTTTACTGAGATAATTCCTGTCAATCATGAGATTGGGAGAGAGGCCAAATCAGGTGTTAATTGAAGAGATGCTGAGATCAGGGAAGTCTTCACTTGTCTGAGAAGAGCAGCGTTACTGGAGGTCTCTCTAAAGGGTGGATTTCACATGGGTAAGGTATGTAAGAGCCTCATGTACGAATCACAGATATTCTTCACCACAGCCTTACTTTATTTTTAACATCTGGTACAATGTTGTTTGAAAACTCTGGTGAAAATTGAAGAGATTCCAGTACCAATTATCATTTACTCTTTCACTTTAGGAAACAAAATCTCTGAACTACTCGATTCTGCTCTTTGATAAACAGATGTAATATTGCTACTATCTATGTTATAAACTTGTGTTAAGATAATCATATAGAATATGTTAAAGACTCAAAAGGAAAAAAAAAGTTTCGTCCAAGCCATAGATAATGATGTATGAATTAGATACTTTATGCTCATATACTTCTGATGGATATTCTAATTTTTCTCTTTTCCCAAGTATTTAAGTTACACAGGTTATATTAAAAGTTAATGATCGATAAACAGCCAAAGTAAAATGTTCATGTACAAACATGAACAATTGACATGAAACTATTCTGGGTGCCTTATCGCATGCTTCCTAGTTGACTGGCATATGAAATGAACATGTCTGATTCAAGAGAGCACAGCCTGGCAGTTGTGACTCAGGAACTTCGAAGGGCATGAACCTTTCACCACATTTAATAAATCGATGTGCTGCCTTCTCATAACTTAACCCCTTCACGACTAGAATATTCTCTGCTTTGATAGTTTCCTTGGTGCTGTGTCTTTTCAGTAAGGAAAGACAAATTGACACCAGGGGAAGTAAAGTTGAAGTACTAGGGACTTTGATACAATTAGTGGGATGGAACACGTATGTCCCAAGTGGAGGATGATTGTCGGATTGATGAACTGAGAACTCTTTCTTCAGATCCACGCAGGTCACGTGCACCACCACCCCTGGGATACCAGCTTCCCCAGACACTTAAGAGGCAGACCATGTTTGAAGACAAAATATGTCCCAGGGGCCATGATAGTATTAAAGTGCTAAATTCATCTTTTTTGGCCAGATGATTAAAAAGATAAAGGTCTACTGATTATTTTTATACTGGAATAATCTTCCATTATTAATCCATTTTATCTTATCGCAAGTCGGTTCAGCAGTACTACCAATTAAAAATAGGGAATGCTGTGTACTCAATTCCTAGAGTAAATTTTTTTTTCCTGCCATGAGAGGATTGTTGGATTTTCCAATTAAAGAAGTCTCCATACTGAAAATGAGTAGTCAATTATGAAAATTAATTTTGAATTGCCAATTTGCATACCCCTAATTGTATTCATTTCTTTTAAAAGACTGAACTTGGAATGTATGATGTTTTGATTGGTTACCCTTGCACTTGTGTTATTAATACTATTGCCAACAAGGGTCTCCAGTGAATGGGGCTTTTGAGTCTCTTTCCCAAATAAATGTTTGATTCATAAGTAGGTTTGTTTTATTTAATGAATGAAAAATAACCAAGGATTTTCTAGCAGATCTCAAATTTGTACACACGATCTTTTATTGGATTGACAGTGGTCCTTCTGAGATTCCTTTTGCATTCAGACTTTGAAATGTCTCTAAGATGGTATTGTGCGCTGGCCAAAGAAATGCTACTGCAGAGGACTCCACCATTAATGTTCCCCCCACGGAAGTGTGCACATAACTACTTGGGTATCTTGTTCCATCTGCCTTTAACTTTATAAAATACATGAAACTAGAAAATTAAAAGGTCCTATATTAATGATAAAACACATAAACCTCATATGAAAGAAAATGTAGATGGCGTTTACAATAATTCAGTTAAAAGTACTGATGTGGATTCTCATTGAACTTAGCATTCATTGTGTTTAAGCCAGTAGACATATAGAGTTATTCACAAAGAAAATGAAGAAAAGAAAATTTCACATGCACACATAGGATGTCTTATGCAAGAGGGATTTTTACAGGTCATAGAAAAAGTCCATTATTTTTCCGTTTTATTTTTTCCAGCACATTTTGGAAGCTCTCCCATATGCCAGAGAGATGAGATAAATGATATACATGCACATACATACCTGCCTTTGTTTCCAGAAGGACAGATGGCTTTAGAGATCCTATCATGTATTTTAGTTCTGGGAAATAAAAATATCCCATAGAGCATGTGAACCTATGGTTCAGCTTTGAATACTCAACTTTCCTTTATGGAACATTACTAAGGAGACACTGGCGAGGAAAGGAGGGAAGACACTGTTGTTCCCCGCATTCAGAAGTGCATCACAGAAACCAAGGAGGGCATGCGCCGCGCCTGGTTTCCAGCCACAATTACTCTCGCGTGTAGATAGAGTAATTGGAGAATTAAGTCACGGCACAGTCACATTGAAGTTTTGAGTTTCGTGAGGCCTCTTTCTTTAAAACCACATAGAGATTACCATCCAGCAGATAGCGTGTGTGTGCTGTGTGCTTGTCCTACGAAGTAATTTGTGTTGGTGGATTTGTTTGTAGCTGATTGCTGTGTTTGACGAGCAAGAACCACTTCACAAGATTGAGAGCCCCAGTGGAAACCTGGCAGATCGGCAGAGCCCACAGGCTTTGGAGAGGGAAGTGGCCGCCCAACTGGCTTCATTTAAACCAACTGGTGGGGAAATCGAAGTAACCCCTTCTGCTCTGAACTCAGGTAAGTGTGTCTTCACTGCCATGCTGCTCATGCTCACCTGGGCGATAATGGATGCCTTGTGGATTAAGTATGGCTCCTATTTTAAGACTTTGTTTTGTTGATATCTTTCTCTAAGAAACATCTAGATACACACACACACACACACACACACACACACACACACACACACACACACACCTTCTTCTACTATTGCACCTAGCTTTTTGCAGCTGCTACTGCTCACGGGTCAGTAGCTGCAGGTGAAAGCTGCGTGCATGCCCCTGAAGGGACACAAGGAGCAGTTGACGCTCTGGCCAGGTTGATACAAGAAAAAGAAGCCCCCCAAAGAGTCATGTGGAAAGCGCTAAGGATTGTAAAGGGTGAACCATATTAGAAATAAAGGTCACTTCTGTTTGTTGCCACCTTCTTTTTCTTCCCCAAACTTTCTCTCTGTGTTTGGGGAAGAGATTTCCAACTCAGTTTGGCTGATTCATTCCATAGGGAACAATCACGCAGGAATTTTGTGCGGAATTCTTTTTTGGTTGTTTTTGTTCTGAAGGTGTTGTTGTCTGAAGGTGTTGTTCGAAAGAGAAAATAGAACATTCTCCTTCGGTTTCAGCCAATTTACAACTCCAAGAAAAATAGCATTTCAGTTTTTGTTGATAGCGCTTAGAGATATAAATGACTATCAGTCTAACAGCATGAAGTCTTTTGGAAAGCCAGTGGTATTTTGATACTTGAAACCGTTTTTGTTTTTGTTTTTTTAAATGTTGAATGTATGCAGAACATTTGGAGATGAGGTCAATTTGCCTGGTTAGAAGAACAGAAGCTAATTCCATTTGCAAAGTGGCTCTTTTCTTCTTCAACACAAAGCATATGCTTAAAACTGTAACGTGCACAGGACCAGCCCTTACCATTTGAAGTGAAATGTATTGTAAAGTCAATCTGATGTCTGGTAATACTGGCATGGCCTTGTTTTGTGCCAATTTTCTGGAAGGTATCGTTAGTGCCCCTTCTAAAATAAACCCAATGCAAATGAATGGCCCAGGCTCAGTGATTTCCCGCCAACGTTTGTAAAACCAGCTCATGAAATAGTCTGCTGGAACTGCATGTTGGAGGCTTTGTGGCCTTCTCTCTTCATCTGGAGCGGGGTTGTGGCTTCAGCAACCTCACAGCCCTATCATTCATTTGCATAATGGATGCCTTTTTACCCATTATGCAAATGGATGGGAGGAAAATTAGGCAATAAGGGAATATGAAAAGGGAGAATTGCAGTTGCTTGTTTTAATATTCTATTTATAAGCAAGCAACGTGGTCTTCAGAAGACAGAACCTCAGAGTTCCCCTCTGCCTGGGAATTTTTTCCACCTTTTCTTTTCTGTTTGTTTGTTTTCTGCTGGGGGAATTAGTTTCTCCTCCTTCCCCCACCCCCAACCCCCCTGCAGTTTTTTTCATGATTTCTTTTGTTGAGCCATTTGAGGAATATACTAATGTATGTTCAGGAAGACAAAAGGTCGGAGATTCTCTCTACTTTTGGAAGTGGGCTTTATTTTGTCAGTGCAGAATTTTGGTAAGTAAGAGAGAGACTGAAAAAAAAAAAGCCTATAGACTGGTGACTATGGGTAGTCGCAGGCACTGAGCTACCAAGACACCCAATTTTCTAAACCTTTCACTCCTAAGAAGTAATTTGAGCCTCCTGATACTTAATTAGCTATGGTCTGTTGCTCGGACTTTAAAAGTGAGAAACAGAGCAAGAAAGGTGATGCGGTTCACCTCAAATTATGCTATATTGCAGCAGAGACAGAATTTGAATGATTGCTGATGGGCACCAGCCTGCAATGCCATGTTGCTCCTCTGCCCCTCATATACTGCTGGTAACAGCATGCATAGTAATGCCTTCCGTGGGATAGTTTTGTGAGTATGTCTGCAAACCTTGAAAACGCTGTGTCAATCGCTCACAAATCCCATCTTCATCCATTGCTAGAAATAAAATGATGAGATGCACTCTCTCACTTTTAGGTAGCAATGTATTTCTTCCAGCCTGAAACCATGGTGTCTCTTGTTCCTATTCCTCCCAATGTACCACTTTCTCCCTGTCAGTTCTTCCTCTCCTGTGTCTACTGAGAGGCAGTAGGTGCAACCTTTATCAGCAGGGTGTGTGGAACCCTCAAACTGACCTCTTCCCACAATCCCCTCTGCTGCCAGAGCTGCCTTTCTCAATCACAAATCTGATGATACCCCTCCCCTGCTTAACAACCTCCGATGGCTCCCCATTGTCCCTAGGACCATGTCCAAACTCATTAGTGAGTGATGCAGATGGTCCCTGTGAATAGCTGGAGGAATTTGGGCAGGGAGAAATGAGGACGCATCTTCCTTTACCATCTGAATGGTTCTACCCGAGTGAGAAATGTTCACATTTGAGACTTTACAAAAGGAAACAGAACACATTTATTGGCTCTCTTAGATTAAAAAAGAAGAAAAAAATACTAGAAAAAGAACCAGTGAGAGCAACTTTAATTTCTACCCATTTCACTGTTTCACGGTGTGGTCACAGGCTGGCATTCGCCACCATGATGAATGGCTGTCGTTGGCAGGATAAGGGATATTAGTGCCTCTTCTGGGAATGTGAATGATTATGCATTCAGGCCTACCCAGAAATTCTGGGGCGGAGAGAGAGAGGTATGGTCCGGGGGCAATTCAGATATCTGTTCCAGTATCCCCTCATATCGGGGTGCATTTAAAATCCAGATCCCACAACCCCAGTCTTTCAACCTCAGCTCCTGCAGAATGACTTGTCCTAATTTGCACTGGGCTCCCTGGGACAGGCCGGTGCAGTAGGAGCAGGACTGATTCTCTCACAGGATGGCATTGAGTCGCCCTTGAACTCTTCAGACACATTCAAAGAAATAGGGGGTTTGATCACAATCCATTTATGTGCTTATGTTGCTGAAGGGGGCGATTTAACAAATGCTAGAAATCAAAACGTTTTTATGGTCAAATTATTTTGATCTCCACAAATGTCTTTTACTGTCATTTACTTTACTTCTTTCTATTATGAAATATACTCAATGCTCACTATCATTTTTATATCACATTTTCTAGCACAAGATCCAAACCACTTCTTTCTATTATGAAATATACTCAATGCTCACTATCATTTTTATATCACATTTTCTAGCACAAGATCCAAACCAAGCCAAATCCACTGCCATCAAGGCAGACCTATAGGATAAGATAGAACTGCCCCTTTACCAGAGCAGAAAAGTCGTCTCTCCAACAGGAGTGGCTAGTGGGTTTAAAGTGCTGAGCTTGCAGGGATCAGTCTAACGTGTAACCACTACGTCACCAGGGGTCCTTACCACTAGATAGCATCAACAATATGACATGAAAACTCAACAATAAACTTGTCCATGTACATTTCTCCTAAGGTGGATTCCCCTAGTCTTCTCTTCTCTCTCAGGATGAAATGCTCATCAGAGAATCAGCAGAGAGTTCCTGTTTCTAGCCTTCCATAAATCTAGCCACTCAGAGAGATGGATGGACACAGTGTCTACAACCACAGGCCCAAATATACCAAGGATGCTGCTGGCCACCTTGCAATAATCACCTTAAAATTTAGCCTCTGTCGTCCCCCAAGTTTCCTGCTCTACTCCAAGCACACACGCTGTTTTCTTCACCTGATGTTCCCTCCGGCCTCTTTTCTACTTTGCGAAGTTAGTTAAGTTTTATGTCCAAGTTCATGTTTGTGAAGCCCGATCCAAATCATCTAGATACAAATCATCCCTTCCTTTGTATATACCTTTCCATAAAACCCCGGCACATTTTAATAATCTGTGCGTATGCCTATCTCTGATGGTGTAGTGGGCTATAAGACTAGTGGTTAGTAGTGCAACCTGTAATCCACTACTGAACCAGAACCCCACCTCGCTGCGGTGGAGTCGATTCTGACTCACAGGGGTTCAATAGGACTGAGTAGAACTGCCCCTTTGCGTTTCCCAGAGTGCACCTCATACTGGAGTAGGGGGTATTGTCTTTCTCCAAGAAGTGGCTGGTGGTTTTGAATCACTGGCCTGAGGTCAGCAGCCCGTTGCATAACCACTATGCCACCAGGACGCTTTAATTTGTAAGAAGAGTTTTAAATCAAGAGGGAAATCACATAATTCCAATTTCATATTTCATTCCTCTAAATCAGTGGTTCTCAACCTTCCTCATGCCATGACCCTTTCATATAGTTCCTCGTGTTGTGGTGACCCCCAACCATAAAATTATTTTTCTTATTACTTTGTAACTGTAATTTTGCTACTGTTATAAATCGGGCGACCACTGTGAAAGGGTCATTCAATCCCCAAAGGGGTCGTGACCCACAGGTTGAGAACCAATGCCCTAAATGATTTCCTACCATTATTGTCTAATGGGTTTACCACCCCCAACCCTGCCCCCAAAATATACTGCAAATTTACTAAGTCCAGGCTCAGCCATAACTCCCAAATCGTAACAGTTAACAGTTCTATGTTTCTAAAGCTGGCCAATGTCTTTTGCCTTGTAACCCTGGATCTGGTACCCCAAGAGGCTACTCAAAACAAGAGACATGATGGGGACAAAAGTGTATGTGTGTGTGGGGGGGGTTATGATATCCCAGGGCCATATTGAGAATCTATTTAGACTTTAACTTTCCTTAGTTTAGGGATTTTTACCAAGTCTACACTATAGAAATGTGAATGAGATTCTGTGATTTTTTTGAACACATGTGTTCTTTCAAAGTTTATTTCTTATTTTTAATAGATAACCTATATTGGAACTTACTGAGTTCTAAGAGTCCCTGCGTGTGCCAAATAGCCTAATACTAATGGGAAGTTTTGGGCTTTGAGCCCAACTAGAGGCTCCATGAGTAAAGGCCAGGCTGTCAACAATTAATTAATTTTTATTTTTTTCAACAATTAATTTAAATCAAAATACAAGGACCAAATGAATGGAAACAGAACAGCCAGGATGAAAATAATGGGAATGTATTAGCAAAATACA